TTTAATATACAGCGCGTCTCGACGCGCGAACTTTGGGCATATAAGAAGAAGACGATAAAGAGAAGGAGAGGGAGAGAACAGGGGAGAGGTAGACGAGGGTGATTAGAGGAAGTGATCGATGTCGGGATTGAGAGGGGGCGGAATAGGTGGAAGAAAAGCGGCCATTGCTGCGGGAGTCGTCGGCGCATCTTCCTCATGGAAGTGGTGCTGGACGAACGAGGGATAGAGGAAGGCCCCCGGCACATGAGAGAGGACACGTGGCGCCAGATCCGCCACCGCTCGCACCACCCGCTTGCGCACCGATCGGGGCCCTGGACCCGTCATCACCACATGAGTCTCGGTGTAAGGCCGCCGCTCCCGCTTCTGCGCCGCGAAGACAAGGAAAGGGTACATCACATTGGGACGCTGCCCGGTCTCGTAGATGAGCGTCCCAGCCAGTCGCGCCGCAATACACCCTTGAAAAGGGGGTGTCAGATATGGCTCCCACGCCGGATCAGGGCGCGGCGCCCCCGCGATGGCCTCGAGCCTGATGGTGGTGGGCTCCACCATGAAATCCACCTCTGTCGGATGGACCGTCCGGCTTGGAGGAACTGCTAATGTCAATGACCGGGGCACCCCGGGGTGGCTGGCGGAAGCGGAGAGGTCCCGCGAGGACGGGGGGGCTGGATATGGGATCCGGTAATCCCATTCGGCTTCCTCCCCCGGCTGCTGCTGCTGCTGATGGCCCGGCTCCATCAAGATTGAGATCGGGCACACGCGGGAGGGGCGGCGATGGCACGACAGTCTCCTTAACGAGCGTCGCCGCACTCCCAGGCACGGGGTCAAGATTTCGCGTACGCGCGGGCTGAATCACCTCCTCGCCGCCACCGATTCTGCTTCCTTGCGCTCCTGGCGATGGGTGGCGTCTCTTCCTCTTCAGCGTCTTCTTGGGGGCCTTTGGTGGCGCCGGTCTAGGATACGACGAGGGAGGCCGCAACGGCTTTTCCTCCGGGAAGTCCTCCAACCTCTCCGAGCGCTGCGCAATGTAATCCGGGATGACGACCGCGTTGTACGTTCTCCGCAGGGCCGTCGCCGTCCGGAATGTTGGCTGGATCTCCTCTTCCTCGCTCGCGATCACTTGCGCAACGGAGAGGAGCTCAAGATGTATGAGCTCCAACAATCCCGGATCGATCGTCTGGAGCTGGGCGAATGGGTACAGCGCCACCGTCCCCTTCTTCTGCGCTGGCTTGGGCCGCGCGATGACGTAATAGACCACAAAGTGTTCCCCGATGCAGTGGTCTTCGTGATCCACGAAGAATCGAAACATCCCCAACGCCACCGACTTGTACAGCGTACGGTGCAACTCCCACGCGTCTTCGTCTGCGAAGGGCAGCGGTTCCACGTCAGTTAGCTCCACCAGATAGTCCGAGAACTCGCGCATAGGATAAGGGCCCTCCGTGAGTTGATAGGGGAGAGTGGTGTAAACAGCCATTTCGTCAAAACGGACATATTATATTTTTTGAACGAAATCAAAACTGACGTTTTTTGCCAAAATCCGGTCTGATTTTTTTGCTCCTAGGGGTCCGGCGTTCCCAAAACGCCGGACCCCCCTGGTCTATGGTTGAGACCAGATAAAAAAAAAAAAGTATCTGGTCTCAACCATAGACCAGGGGGGTCCGGCGTTTTGGGAACATCGGACCCCCATGAGCAAAAACTTCCGACCGGATTTTGGCAAAAAAAGTCAGTTTTGATTTCGTTCAAAAAATATAATATGTCCGTTTTGACGAAATGGCTGTTTGTAAGAGAAGAAGGGAGGCATTTAGTACGGGCCAGGGGGAAGAGCTTGGATGTTGAGAGGGGCAGCAAGAGGAAGAAGCGCGGGGAGTTGTGGCACCAACGCGATTGGTCCGTCCTCTGCCCTGCGCAGCAGCGCTTCGTGGGCTGTGAATCGGTGTCCCCCCCGTCGTTGCACTCTGGCCACTGATCTGGCCGCCTGCACTGCGCATTCACGCACAAAACTCCGCGCCAGCTCCCGACTCGGCAGCGGCAAGATCGTCAAGTCTCCGATAAAGGTAGCGACGCTATGTACGAAGTTGGGTGCCACCTGGAGCGCACGGAACTCGATAAACACTCGAGTTGTTTCCCGCCCAGGCAACTGCGTCACGTCCATGTACACCCCCGCATACGTCAGCCGATCGGAAAGTAACGAGTACGTCGCCAGATCAGCAACCCCGGGCGATGGCACGTTCACCTGCTGAATGTCGTACCGCAACTGCCTTTCCTCATTGAACTGATGCCGCAACAAGCGATCTGCAAGCGGCGTCTGGAAATGCTCGAGGGGCTCATGCTCCGGCTGGCGATGGTTCATCCTGCTCCCTGAAACTCTCAGCACAAATGGACAAGGCAGATCGGGAAGAGGAGGAAGACGAAGAAGGAGAGGATGACCTCGCAGGAGCGGGGGTCCGTATGTGACCTAGCGATGGCTGAAAGGGCCGGAGCGCGGCAGCGTGCCATGTCAGCGGTCGGGCCTGGGAGTTGTGACGGGGAATCAGCTTCACGGAGTGCTGTCCCTGTGCGCCAACTTCCGTTACCTCGTAAATGCCTGTGTAGCGCGAGTGGATCTTGGAGGAGCGCGCGGATTTCCGTACCTGCACCAAGTCCCCAACTTTATAGCGGGGCAGTGGTCCCGGCGACGCGTGCCGATTCTCGTAGTCACGGATCTGCCGTTGATACGTCCGATCTATGGCCCGCTGTCGACGGCGAGCTAATTGGGGATAGGCCCTAGCCATTAGGTCCATGTAGTGGCGGGCCTTATCTCTGTGTTGGGCCCGTGTTGCTCTAACTTTCGTACCTACCAGGGGGGACAACTGCACCTGAGGGACATTATTGGTTCTTAGTTGAAAGGGGGACACCCAGTACTACCGTGTGGGGTAGCCCGATAAATGGCCGAGATGTGGTCGACAATGACAGGTCAAGGCCGGGTGTCTCCCGCAGTGATATTCTGTCTAAGGGCGGTCTTAATCAGTCGGTTGGCATTCTCTACCAGGCCATTGGCTTGAGGCCAATGCCCCGGCGAGTAGATAATCTTAACGTCCGCCCAGACTAGGTGACGTTCTACTTCGCCTTGAAATTCTGACCCATTGTCCATGTGTACCTCTTCTACGTCTAGATGCATGCACAAAAATCGGTTCACGTACCAAGCTACCTCCTGCGAATTCCGGTTGGTCATAGGGTACGCCTCGATCCATTTCGAAAAATGATCGACGGCCACTAAAAGAACATTGAGCTCTCCTTGATCGACGGGACCTCTTGGAACGTTGATATCCGTCGTGTCGATGCTAACCCTCTGAAAGGGGCGCTCTACACGAGTAGGCACCATCGTCCGAGGCATCTGTACCGGCGCCTTGTCAGCCGCGCAGGCCGGGCAATTCTGGACGATGTATTTCACATCTTCCCGAATTCCCGACCAGTACCATCCATTCTTTTCGATGGCTTTTTTCGTGTAGTTGACCCCGAAATGGACCGCATCCTCTTCATGAGCGGCTCGTGTCCAATCGAGCCTAGCGAAAGGGTGCGGAACCGTCAACCAGCTAGATCCTCCGCCATCATCTACTTTTCGTTTTTGTAACGTCGGTCCCTGCCAGCGATAGTCCTGCGCCCGCTCCGTGACTCTCCGCCGCTCGGCTTTGGTAAGTTTTGACAGCGAGTCGCCTGACAACCTCCGTAGCAACAGAAGGTCCGTCCAGGCTTCTGCCCTGCGGGCACTTGGCGCGAATCCGTCGGCTGTCCGTGCGTCCAGATACCGTTTCTCGGTAGGGACTTGGTTCGTTCTGCAGTTGGGACAGACCCACGTCTTTCACTTCGGTACCTAACGCATTGTCCGTGGGATTGGACCGCTTGACACTGACTACACCGCACCCACAAAAGAAAACTGGGCCCTCCCAGATGTGACCTTTCTTGGTCCGGGACCATAGGCAAGCTACAGAAGAAACAGGGACTTAGATGTGTTTCAGGGGACGAGTAGGGACTAGACGAGAGAGCGAGGGAGTTGGATGAGGGCAAAGAGATAGTGTCTGCCATCTCCGGCGAAACCTCCATTCCGGACTCAAGCGTCGTCCTTGCGCAGCACGTGCAGCTCCCCGTAGCGCGGTTTCATCGTCGCGGCTTCTGGCCTCCACGGAATGAGTCGCTCGTTGGCGGGACACTTGTTGGGCGGCAGGAGGCGCGTCAATCCATCGGCGTTGCCATGCTGCCCCGTGGCACGGTGGCGGATGTCGAAGTCATAGTCCTACAGACGCACCGCCCACCTTCCCAGCATCCCCGTGTAGTCTGTGTTGTTGCGTAGGGATAGCAGCGGCTGATGATCCGTTACCAGCACGAATTTCTGGCCGTAAAGATACGGTCGAAAATGCTGAATCCCCCACACCACCGCCAGGCATTCGCCTTTGCACGCTTCGTAATTAGCCTGCGCCTGGCTCAGCGTCTTGGATGCATACTCAATGACGTGTTCCCTTCCGTCCGCCCCGTGCTGAGTCAGCACCGCCGATATCGCCTGCGGCTGCCAATCGGTTTAAAGTGTGAACGGTCTTGTCGGGTCGGGACCCGCCAACACATGAGCAGATGTCAGAGCCTCCTTCAACGCCTGAAACGCCGCTTCGCATTCCGGCGTCCAGATCAGCTGCTCCTCTTTCTTCAGCAGGTTCGTTAGGGGCTTCGCTACACCGGCGAACCCCTTGATGAAGCGTCGGTAATAGGATGCCAGCCCTAGAAAAGCCCGAACCTGGGTGAGTGTGACCGGCACCAGGGCTTCTTGAACTGTTGCCACCTTCCTCAGATCCGGTTTTAGTCCATCGACCGTGACGATGTACCCCAAAAATGAGATCTCCGACAAGAAGAACTCGCTTTTCTCCAAGGCCACTTTGAACCCCGCATCTTCTAGTGCATGCAAAACCCACTCAATGTGTTCCATGTGGTACTCGTGTGTTTTTGAAAAGACCAAAATATCATCCATGTACACAATCACGCAGAAATTGATCAGGGGCTGGGTTAGTCGGGTTTTGTTAACGAACTCAGCGAAGGTCATATTCATGGCTCGCTGAAACGTTGCAGGGGCATTACAAATTTCCGTGGGACACCGGACCTATTGCCACGTGCCCTCAAATAGGACAAAAGCGGTTTTGGGTCGGTCTTCCGGTCGGACTGCGACATGGTGAAAACCGTGTCAGATATCGAACTTGGAAAAGACTCGAGCGGCCCCGATGGCATCTAATAAATCGTCGATTCGCGGCAAGGGATACACATCTTTGGTAGTGATAGCGTTCAATTTTCGGTAGTCGATACATACCCGGACCGAACCATTTCGTTTTGGCACAAGGACCACGGGAAAAGACCACGGTCCCAGCGATGGTTCGACCCACCCCAACCGCTCGAATTCCCGTACCCTTTCCAACGCCAACTGTCTTTCTTTAAGGGAATATCGGTACNCCCCAACCGCTCGAATTCCCGTACCCTTTCCAACGCCAACTGTCTTTCTTTAAGGGAATATCGGTACGGTCGGCAATGTATCGGGGCGTGATCCCTGGTATCAATCGCGTGCTGTATCAAAGGGGTTAGCCCTATGTCATGGTCCTGAATACTGACGGCCTCAGGATAGGCCCGTATAACCGCCAGGAGGAGGCGTCTGTATTCATCCGGAACACGGGCTGGTAACTGAACTTCTACGGTTCCCCCAGGAAGGGAGACCGTCGTCGTAATCGTGGGGACCGCCGCGCTGGCATCGAGCAAGGCCCCAAACAAAGAGTTGTCGGTTTTCGCCGAAAGGACAGTCGCAATAAGTTGACTGTCCGCCGGACTCATCGGCTCGCTTTCCATATCACTGTCGCTGTCCAGTTCGGGTTCGGCCGAGGGTTCTACCGAAAAGGCCTGCATCAGTTCCCTCGGTCCCCACCGATATTCCCTTGTTCGGGATTGAAATGACACCCCCTCTTTCAAGACTATCGCGGCTTTTCATTTGTGAGTAGGGGCCGTGGAGGTCAAAAAGATAAATCGCACAGCCCCCTAAGCTCGGTAAATCTTTCAGGTAGGGGGTCCGTCCTGAGGTATAAGGACGCAGGGGGTTCCGAAAGGTTAGCTATTCGGGACACCCTCAGCAGGGGTTCCCCCTGCACCACGGAGGAGAACGCGTGCGACCAATTGGACCCGCTCCAAACTATTTCCAGGGGTTCTTGTCGCCAGGAATGGCGCCACCGATCCTGAACCCGGATCGGATATCGGTCGGGAACGTCAGTCTCGTCAGTTCCCGACGAGGTTTCATTTTCGCCTGGCGACAGGCGTCGGATCATGTTGATTTGGTGGGCTTTCGTGGTGATTCGAGGCGCCGGCTGGGTACGCATACGCACCGCCAATCTCATTGGTATCGTTCGTGGTTTGGGGTGGGCCGATGTGAGCACCACCTTACAGCTGTCAAAGTGCATTCGCGCTCCGACCGCCGCCTGCCACGGAATGCCTAGCAGAACATCATACGCCTGTACATCCAGCACGATTGCGTCGCACAAACAATGCACCCGCCCCACCCGTATAGGCACGTTCGTTATTAGCCCTTTACAATGAATACTGTCTTCCGTAGCGGATATATACAGTTCATCCGGTCAGAGGGGCTGAACCTGTCCTTCCCTTCCCAATTGTTTCGTCAGTCTCCAAGAAATGGCGACCGCTGACGATCCCGAGTCTAGGATGGCGGCCGAGGGATTTCCCCAGACCTCGCAGTCACACTCAACGCTTTTCCAGGTTATAGGATAGGCTCAGAGGGAGACCTCGGGTTTTTCCGAGGCAGGATCTACGGTCTGGATCATTCCTATCCGGTTGGCTTCGTGCACCTTTGAGGTCGAGGGGTGTGACTCTTCGTTTGGGGGTAGGTCTTGCATGACCGGCTCTTTGCCCTTTCGACTTTCCTCGAAGCGGCGTCTGTTTTTGAGGCATCGTTCGATCAACTTTTCGTTAGCCGCTTCGCAAATGGTTAGCAGATAGGGAATAGGGACGGGGATCCGTAGATCCAGAGCCTTCAATGCATCCAATACGTCGATGTGACCGTCTTTGTACTCAGGGCCAGGGGTCGTGAGATCTTCGAACCCCGGCCGCCAAGGCCCGAGGTCGCTTTCCTCGGTAATCCTTTGGACGTGACGTATCACTCCAATGGTCCCGGGTTCGAACATCGCCGCAGCCATGTACTCATCCGGCCCTATCTCGGTGGCAGCGGGGGTCACTATTTTCGTTGCTCCAGTATCCATCGCCGTGGTTACCCTCCCCTGTCCTGCGGCGGTTGGAGCAGCCAACGGGATTTGGGAAGGTCCGGTGGGCCCTGCAGGCCCACCCTGAGGTCGAGGTTTCGGACAATCTTTCGCAAGGTGGCCTGGCTGATTACAGTTATAACAGCGTAGAGGCGGGACAGCCCCGGCCACGGCCGGTCTTATCATACGGGCCCCGGCGGCCATAGCCGCTTGTTGCCGTTGTGCGGCAATTATGCGTTGCCGCTGCAGACCTTGCACAAACTCTGTCAGCGGGGCCACTACCGTAACTAGTTGGGCCGCGACCTCTTTCATGGATACTTCTTCCTCGCCCCGGCCTCCTTGAGCTTGACTAGAACGACGAGAGGTTGAAGCAGAGGAAGAAGCTTTCCGATCCGAGTCTTTTTTTGTCGGACCCAACCCGAAGCGATCTTCGAACATCCGGGCCGTAGCGGAGTAGCTATTGCGTCGAACACCCGAAGGGTCGTCTTCGCCGGATTCTGAGTCCAGGCCCACATCGTAATTTTCTTTCTCGTACTGAATGGCGTACTGAATTAGTTCCGTCAGGGTATGTTCTATAGGGTTACATTTCTTGCGGATCTTTTCCCGCAGGCGAGAATCTGACAATCCTCTGACGAAATCAGTCCGTACCATTTTGTAGCGGACCCACCAGGTGTGGTGCTCCGCTAGTGACAGAGATGGAGATGGAGAAAGAAGGGGGAGCAAGATGGCACAACGCAGCTCCCCACACAAAACTCCAACGCACGTACTCCAAAATGTGCAAGTGAGGAATGAGATTGAAAACAGACAATGGCTGGGGTATACCCCAGCGGACTGACGGGACTGGACTGGACTGGCTGGTACCGAGAGAGGTACCGGCCTGGACTGGCCTGCCCCGAATATAACACAGGCCTGTGAGAACAGGCCAAGGGGCTGGTCTCACGGGCCAACCCGAGGTCCGCTACACGATCCTCGGCCTGTGATGGATCGCCTAGATACAAACATGCTTCCGCCAAGAAGCGGAACTCTACCAAAGAAGAGAAAACCTGGGTAGTCTAGGATGCGGAGCAAGCTCCATGCTGAGTCCATGCGATGCAACCTAGGATATAAAATGTCACAAAACAGCAATGTCACAGCTAACAGCCTAAGTGAAAGTAGGAGCAACTAACTAACATACATGTCCTAGGAAAGCAAAAAGTAGTGACAACTAGATCCTAGAATGTTGGAGGCACTAGCCTCAGTCTGGTAACAACTGACTAGTGTATAAGTCCTAAGAACAACA